AATAACTGTAAATCTCCCCCCCTTTGGGTTCCAGCAAATCTCACCTCTGGAGTTGCAATGACTGAAACGGTGGGGAAAATCACCCAACTACACGGGAGGATCGTCAATGACTAAAGGCACTGGACCATTTCACCAAAAAAAAATTGGTTACACACTACCCCGTGAATACGTCCGCGCGCCCCAAGGTCCCCCTGCTCAAAAGCCATATAATGCCCGTCTGAATTTGCCAATGAACATCTAAAATATTCAGAGAGAACTGGGTAAAAAGTGTTGGGCAATGAACAAAATGGAGCTCTTTGGCTAAACTCACTCCCGTTTTGGAGGGGGGTTTAATGCTGCCTATACCCCAAAACACCATCCCCCCGTCAAAACTGGGGGGTGAAAATTATCTTTTGGGGTTTTTTTTTCCCAAGGGACAGACACTTCACCGCATCAAGGGACAGGGAGGGCCTGTACCGTCAAATCTTGGGTGAGAACCCCCTTCCCCCCTCCCCCGGGCTTTGAAAAGGGGTCGTGGAGGGGTATTCCGCATACAATACCCAAAAACACGCCAAAGGCAACAAAGGAGGGGCTCAAAAGAAGCACTTTACGGTCCGGGGGGCCCTACCAGCTCCAGACCTTAACCCCAAAAAAATTTGGAGTGAGCTGAAGGTTAGTTGCCAAACGTCAGCTTCGAAACCTTAATGACTTGGAGAATCTGCAAGAGGGGGGAAAAAATCCCTCCTGATGTTTGTTAAAAACCTGGGGCCATCTACAAAAACGTCTGCCCCTTTGCCAACAAGGGGTTTTTTGCCCCCAATACTAAGTCATGTCTTGCAGGGGGTCAAATACTTATTTCCCCTCTTAAAAGCAAATCAATTCGGGAGCGGAGCTAGCATTTGGGAATGAACGGTTTGGTGTAGAGCTCTGAAACCTTTTTTTGCGAAAAAACAAACCAAATTTATTTTAAGGCATTTCTTACAACAAACTTTTTTTTCTAATAAAAATTTGAACTTTAATGTGAAATCGAGTAATAAGCGCCCAAAAGGCAATAATCCACATCGGGGGCCTACTCCCCCCAAACATGACAGAATGGGGGAAGGCCAGGAACCGTGACACTTACGACTTCCCCGGGCTTTGGGAAACTACTTTTGCTATAGGGGAGGACTTAAGGCTACTATTGCTGACTGGCACAAAATCAGAGCACTTTCGAACTTTCGCTTCGCGGGGCCAAAAGTTTTGTGGACCTTGAAAAAGTTTTTTAATTAAACCGGGTAGGACACAGTTTAAGAAGATTGCCTCATTGCGATAGTGTCCGATTTTCTGTGATGGGGTCGACCGGGAGGGCAATCCGGCGATAACCTTCGGTTGTGGGTCTGGAAAAAAGGGGTGGAGGGGGGCTCTCGCCCCCCGACTTCTTCGCCAAGCTACTGAAGGGGTCAATGAAACCCGGTGTTTTTGGGTTCGGATCCCCTACTGGCCGGCCCCCAAGCCCCTTGTCCCAGGCCTACCGGCCAGCTCCCCCAAAATCTCGTTGTCACGTTTTCAAGACCAGATCATCCCGCGCAGGCCGAAAGGGGGGCCCTTTACATAAAGGGCACCCCTTTTTGTGTCTATAGGGTTTTGCGCCCGATGTGGAAAAACACCACCGGGGTACAGAGATTTATACCAAAACTCACAAACCCATCTTTTTCCCCCCTTTCCTTCCCCGCAAGACTAAGAAAATTACCCCCGCCTTCCGGGGAAAAAATTTGGGGTCTCCTCGGTTTTTTGGGCCAGAAATTTATCCGGGATATACGCCAAACCCCCCTACAGGGGTTTGAGTGCCTGTCATTGTGGGTTAGGGTCTCCATGGGCTCGAACCCTACTATACCCAAAAGGGTGAAAACCCTATTAAAAGTCTCAGCAAGGGTACCGAACATGTAAATACGCTGACTGACCAAGGGAGGGGGGTCAAAGGGCTCATTTACTTAATTTTCACTTTTATTCCCACGGGTTTGAGCATGCCTGTTTTGGGGGGCCCTTCCCGGTCGGGTCATTGACACTTTTGGATGGATTCTTTATATTCCCCAATTTTTTTTTCGTTTTTTTTTTTCAAATTTTTACATTATTTCCATTTCCATCCTTTATGTATGCTTGCAGGGGGCTGGGGGGGATGGGGGGAAGGGGCCGATGCAACACCCGGATACAATTGTTTTGTCTGTTCTGCCTTTGTCATACCTGGGCCCCCCTCTCCCGATTTGTTCCCCCCCCCTCCGTGGGCTTTTGTCGGGTAGGTTGCTAATTTAATATTATTTGTACTTTTTTTATTTTGTCTTACATTTTATATTTTGTAGTGTATATTTTTTAAAAAAAAATAGATTTTATTCTGGGGTTAATGTTTTTTGATTAGATTGTGTGTTAGTAGTTGTGTTGCGTGTTTTATCTGTATATATTAAGAATTTTCTTTTAAATTTTATTTTTTTGTATGGATGTAACTGTTTTTATATGTATTTTGTGGTGTGTATTTTTATATGTGTGAGGGGTGTCGGCACGTGTGTGAATTTGTGTGTGTTTGCATTACATGTATAAAAATACGCATGTGTTATGAAAGGGGGTGCCATTTTGTTAATGTGGGGTTTGTGGATGTGTATATGTTACATTGTATACAGTGAAAGGGGGCAAGTATTTATACCTGCCGTTTTGCGGGTTTTTCCTACTTACAAACATGTAGAGGTCTGAAATTTTTTTTCATAGGTCACTTCAACTGTGAAGAGGAATCTATAAAAAAAAATCCAGAAAACACATTTATGATTTTAAGAAATTAAATTTCTTTTTTGCGACAAAGTATTGATCACCACCAAATAAAATTCCGGCTCTCACAGACCTTTTATTTTTTTTTTTAAAGAGCCCTCCTTTCTCCACCATTCCCTTTTTAACTGCACCTTTTTTAAACCTTTAAACCTGTAAAAAAGACCCCGGGTCCACACACTCAATAAAACAGACCCCAAACCTCCCCCACAAGGGCCAACCAAAACTGTGTAAGGACATCAGGGATAAAATTGTAAAAACCTCACAAGGCGGGGATGGGCTACGGGAAAAAGGCAAGCATTTGGGGAGAAGGCAACAACTGTTGGCGCAATTTTAAAAAGGGAAAAAGTTCAAAGACGGTCAATCCCCCGGGCGGGCTCCATGCAAAATCTCACCCAGGGGCATCAAAATCTTGAGGAAGGTGAGGGGCACCCCGAAATAATGGGAGGCCCGGGCAAACGACCTGAAAGAGCTGGGCCATCTCAAAAAAACCCTTGAAACCACTACCCGTCATGGGTTAAAATCCTGCAGCGCACGAAGGTCCCACTGCCAACCACGCATTCCGGGGCCCTCTGAAGTTTCCAATGACCATCTGGTTCCAGAAGGGAAAGGGAGAAAATCATGTGGTCTGATGAAAAAAATAGGCTTTTTTTTCTAAACTCCACTCGCCGTGTTTGGAGCAAGAAAAAAGGTATACAACCCCAAAACACCATCCAAACCTGAAGCATGGGGTGGAAAACATCATTCCTTGGGGATGTTTTTCTGAAAAGGGGGCCGGACACTGCCCGTATTGGGGGGAGGATGGGGGGGCCTTATCGCAAATTTTGGGCCAAACAACCTCCTTCCATCAGTAAGAGCATTGAAGATGGGTCGTGGCTGGGGTCTTCCAGCATGACAATGACCCGAAACACACAGCCAGGACAACTAAGGAGTGGCTCCCGTAAGAAGCATCTCAAGGTCCTGGAGTGGCCTAGCCAGTCTCCAGACCTGAACCCAATAGAAAATCTTTGGAGGGAGCTGAAAGTCTGTATTGCCCAGTGACAGCCCTGAAACCTGAAGGATCTGGAGAAGGTCTGTATGGAGGAGTGGGCCCAAATCCCTGCTGCAGTGTGTGCAAACCTGGTCAAGACCTACAGAAACGTATGATCTCTGTAATTGCAAACAACAGGTTTCTGTACCAAATATTAAGTTCTGCTTTTTCTGATGTATCAAATACTTACTGTCATGCAATAAAATGCAAATTAAATTACTTAAAAATCATACAATGTGATTTTCCTGGATTTTTGTTTTAGGATTCCGTCTCTCACAGTTGAAGTGTACCTATGATAAAAATTACAGACCTCTACATGCTTTGTAAGTAGGAAAACCTGCAAAATCGGCAGTGTATCAAATACTTGTTCTCCCCACTGTATATAAATCACTATTTTTTAAAATTATTTATTATTTATTTATCTTTTACTTTTGTATTTTTTTGATTGGGGGGTACGTTCAAGTTATCAAAATCATTGTTCCCATCTCCTAACCCACAATATGTAACTGTACTGCTGTCTATGTCGGTTACTGATGGTTTATGTTTAGACCGGCATTGCTTAGCAATAGAATCTTGTGATGATACATCTTACTTATCTCAGGGATTGACCCAAGATGAACCTTAAGTGCGCAATATGTTTAAGTTGCAACTTATTCTGTTTAGGTTTATTAGATGCTAATTGAACACTTTAAGCGCGGGAGCCTCCTCAGTTCATATGTTAGTAGAAGTTCTACGATAGTGAGAGGTGAACGTATAGTTGGGATTTTATTTTTGTTTTACCTCTTGTTCGAGGTCGCGCCGTGCTTTTTTGGCATCGGCCGGACAATGTGTTTGTTATTTTTATTTTCATATTTTTTTCTGTCCTATTTGTTTATGCCTGTTAAATGTGGGTTGATGACGGGGGGGTAAAGGTTGGGGGAAAGTAGGGGAACAGGGTGGAGAGTGAAGTGCTTGCGGGGGGGAGGGGTGGTTGGATACTGCTCGGGTGTAGGTGCTACATATGCTGATCGTGATGGTTTGGTGCACTTTCTTACCTTTTTAGTGAGTTACATGTAATGCAGGCCACCATAGGAACTACAAATGA